GTGAAAATATACATATTTTATATTTAAATAGGTTTTAATTAATTAAACCTAAGATGATGTTAAATGTTATTGGAGTGTTCAATATTAAGAGGCCAAATTAAATTTTTTAACTGCACAAGAAACATCCCACTTAAGCAAAAAAAAAAAAAAAAAAATCTATTAGAGTAAGTATCCAATATTTGAGGAAAATACTAAGTAACTTTATATTTATGATATTTACTATCTAGTGGAGGGAATGAGTTTAATAATGATAGCCGGGTTTCAAATGTAAGTTGTAGGAATCTCAGAAAACAGAAAGAATACTGTATGTTCAATTATTTGGGGATGAATTCATAAATAAGGCAGAAGCTAAGTTAGGACTTAAAGGACAGGCAATCAGAGAAAAAAGAATAAAAGAATACATCTGGGGATCAATGAGCTAACAGGAAAACTAAGGGAGCAGCATTCCTAAAAGTGGAGGAAGCTGGAGAGAAGTCAATCAACCAATTTAACTGACAAGGCCACATTAGAGAATGAGAGATTGGGCTAACCAAGTAGAAGGAAAGAAGTCAAGAGTTTTGGAAACTATGCAGAATGCAGACAATAGGGTATTACTGTATAATTTTCATGGCAGAAAGAGCACTGAAAGGCTATGCTTTAGGAAGATTAATTTGGAAATAATATTATAAGAGGAGTGGCCTTGAGAAAAGATGACCTAGGAGCCAGATACTTTAGGGAGTGGGGGTGATAAGAGTGAATTGGGGCCAATGGGACTAGGAAGAAAGATACAACTAAGTGATTAGTACTACTTAGTAGTAGGTGGCTAAAGTCAAGAATGACTCAGAGATATTTAGCATTAGAAGTGAAAATAAGGGGCTGGAGAGATGGCTCAGCACTTAAGAGTACTGACTGTTCTTGTAGAGGACCCGGGTTTGATTCCTAGCACCCACATGGCAGCTACGAACCATTCTTAACTCCAGTTCCAGGGGAATCCGAAGCCCTCTTCTGACCTCTGTGGCACTGCATGACACGGATGCATTCACACACATGCAGGCAATACACTCATACACATAAAATAAAAATAATAAAATATTAAAAATAATACTACGAAGTACACCACAGATTAAAATACATTCAAAGCAACTAGTATGTGTGAGTTACCCTCACTATTATTAAAGCTTTTATCTAATTTAATATAATAAAGAAAATCATACTAAATCACAATCATATCAAAATAACTTAGGTACACTCAGTTTTTGAAAGTTTAACTTCTCTTACGACATGTACATATGCCAGAATATATTTTACAAAGATCACAGCTGTCTTCCCTTTCACTTCTTATCAATGGGCTTATGGTTGTACTTACCCTAATATTCTATTCATTCCATGTCTAGCAGCATAGTGTAATGGAGTATTGTGCTGGTAGGGCTCTCCATAGGATGTATTTGGATCAAGGGATTCTTTTAGCTGAGGATTATTTTCATATATTTGGCAAGCCAGGTTTTCGTCACCATTGATGAGTGCTTTTCGGAATTTGGTGGTTGTATTTCCCATGTTGTGTTTTATTTTCCGATGGGCAGTGGCTCCTTCTCTCCTCCTTCAGTCACTTCATGAATGCTTCTACAACATGCTTCACAATCTAACAAAGGAGAAGTTATTCAAATCAGATTGTAAAACAGGAATCACAAAGCAGAAAATTACAAACACTACTAAAATCTGGGAAGCATATAAAGAGAACAAACAATATCACATGTTACCAAATTTATCTTAGCTAAATAATCTCGAATTTTTAACACTACTCAAATTAACTCATTGTTAAATTATAACATTTTCTACACAGACTATGTGGATTTATAGACTAAACTTTTCCCTATAAAAGTTATCACTGTGTGTTCAAGGCCAGCCTAGTCTACATAGTGAGTTCCAGGCCAGCTGGGACTACAGGGAGACCGTTTGGAAAAGACCAAATAAATAAATAAATAAATAAATAAATAAATAAATAAATAAATAAATAAAGTAAAAAGAAATCATGATGAACATCACATGGGCATGTACTACTGAAGCAATGTAAGGAAAGAAACAAATTATTTGAAACCTGAAATACCATATTTACCAAAACTAATTTTAAGCAAGTTATTTACCCTTTGGAAATGTCAAGTTCCCATCTGTACAGTAAAGAAAATGACTATTTCTTAGGCACAGCTATAAGGATTATAAAATAAATTTTATGTAAAATACATACAACTCAACTAAGTAATTCTTTCTCAATCTATAGTTGAACTATGATTGCTATGGTGTGAATGCCCCCCCCAGCCCCCAAATCCCATATATATCAAAGGCCTGGTCATTGGCCTATGGAACTATTAGGAATAAGTTAAGACACTGGAAAAAACAGGCTTCCAAAGAGGGCACTGAGGTGCTAATTTCTTCTTCACTTTCTTTTTGCTTCCCTGCCACTTTACGGTGAACTGTTTTCTGATATATGTTCCTGCCACAATGTACCACAATAGGACCAAAACATCACGACCAAGGGATCATCTACTGAAACCTCTGAAACTGAACCAAAATAAGTCTTTCCTCCTTTACTGCAGTATTGTCTCAGGAGTTCCATGTCCATAACAGAAATATGATAAAAATTAGGGCAAAGGCAATACCATAAACAAAAGTGGGTATGAAAAAAAGAGTCCTATGGGAGAATTAGTGATAAAGCATGCTTTGAGTTAAGGGTCTCTAGCACTGAATGACAGATGACAAAACTGAAAACAGACTGGGACAGATAAGGAACGCATAGTTCAGCCCCAAATGGACAGATAATTAAAGGCTTTTATACAGGACAAGCATGTAATTATTTTATGCCTTAGGGAAAAAATTATTTTATGCCTGTGATAATATAAAAGACAGAAAAGAGGCAAACTATTATGTTACCCCTTCGATTCAATGACACCAAAGCATAGCTTTAAAAATCATTTAAAAATAATGTTCATGTTGTACAATGTGATTTTTGTACAAAGCAGTAAACATTTCAAAAGAATACAACTTAAAGGATGGAAAAAGAATTGTTCCTTTAAGTTTTCTATAAAATAGTAGCTCTTAACTGTGGCTGTACATCCTAATAGCCTGAAGAACTTTAAAGAGTCCTATTGGCTAAGCTATAGCCCAGACAGAATGTCAAGGGTGGTACCCATGCATTGGTATTTAAGCTCCTTGGGTAATTTCACTATGTAGATATTACTGTATAAAAAGCTCTTAGATCTTTCCAACTCAGTATCAAGGTTAGACATCACCAAATCTATTTTAGACAGGTATTAACTGCTTACTATAGAAGTATATTTTCTAGTTCATTCACCATTATACTCATTGAGGTTGCAAACTAGGTTTTCAAAGATGTTTCTATTACAGTTTTTTAAAGCTTAAAATATATATACACATAATAATTTTTTGAAAATATGAATAATGAGCCCCCCCCCAAGAAAAACAATGCCTAGGGGTTGAGAACATAGATCAGTTTAGTAGAGTGCTTGCCTGGCATGTATGAAACTATGGTTTGATCCCCAGAATTACATATATCAGGTGTGGTAACACACACTTGTAATACTAGCACTCAGGAGGTAAAAGGAAGGTTCAAGGCCATACTAGGCTACATAATGAGTTCTCAGCCTGACATGAAGTCCTGACTTTAAAAGGAACTATAAAACCCAGTCTATCTGAGATAACTACTGCTATCATTGCATTAAATAACCACCTTGATGATGTACGCCTATATGTACTTGGAGGCACATATACACTATAAATACAGATACATGAATTTGATCATACTACTTACAAAGAAAATTGTTGAGACTTTAGCTAAACATGGTGCTTCTTTACTGCCTATTCTCAAATTAGATGAGCAAACCCCTCCCTCCCACACTCTATATTTCTCACAGTATGTTCTAGGACTTTTCAGGAACAGTCTAGACTTTATTTTAATCTATCTATCTATCTATCTATCTATCTATCTATCTATCTATCTATCAATCAATCATCTTTTGGTCTTTTTGAGACAGGGTCTCCCTGTAGCCCCAGCTGTCCTGGATTCACTATGGAGACCAGGCTGGCCTCGAACTCAGAGATCCTCCTGCCTCTGCCTCCCGAGTGATGGGATTAAAGGCGTGCGCCACCACGCCCGGCTTATTATTTTGTTTTTAATAGAATGAGTAGTGGTGTATTTAGTCTCAGTAAAAGACTATTTTGTTGTACAGTTGTAAGCATTTAGAAGTTTAGCATAAGGGTCTGGAGAAGTAGCTCAGTGGTTAAGAGCACTGACTGCTCTTGGTTTGATTCCCAGCACCCATGTGGTAGCTAACAACCATCCTAACTTCAGTTCCAGGGGATCCAATGCCCTCTTCTGACCTCCATAGACACTGCATGACATGGGTGCACTTACAAGCAATACACTCATACAATAAAAATAATATATTTTTAAGTTTAGTGTAATAGTTTTTTTACTGTGCTTTGAGATAGCATCTGTGCTGGATAGTTTCAGTTGTCAACTTAACACACCTGGGTGGAGGGAACTTCAACTGAGGAATTTCCTCCACTGGACGGATCTATGGCCATGTCTGTGGGGCATTTTCTTGATTGTTGAGTGAGAGGGAGGGTTCAGCCCACTGTGAGCAGTGTCACTCCTGGGCAGGTGGTCCTGTGTTGTATAAGAAGGCAGGCTGCGCATAGGCTAGGGAAGCAAGCCAGTAAGAAGCATCCTCCATGGTCTCTGTTTCAGCTCCTGCCTCTGAGTTCCTGTCCTGTCTTGAGTTCCTGCCCTGACTTCCCTCAGTGATGGATGAGAGTTGTAAGCTGAAATAAATCTTTTCCTCCCCATCTTGCTTTTTGGTCATTGTTTTATCACAACAATAGAAAGTAACTAGGAGAGCATCTCACTATGCGACCTTAGGTTGGCTTTGAATTGGCAATCCTCCTGATTCTGCTCTATCTCCTGAGTGCTGGGAGTACAGTAGTAACCTATGCCACTTGGCTTATGTGATTCTTAGTAAGAACTCTATTCAACTTACTGTACATCTTAAAAATTCTTTATTATTATTATTTTATTTTTTCTTTTAGAGCTGGCCTGGAACGCCTTACGTAGACCAGGCTGGCCTTGAATTCATAGAGACCCGCCTGCCTCTGCCTCCCAAGTGCTGGGATTAAAGGCGTGTGCTACCATGCCCAGCTATTTTTTATTTTATGTGTGAGTGTATTGCCTGCATGTATGTAAGTGCACCCAAGTTGTGCAATGCCCACAGAGACCAGAAGAGGGCGTCAGATCCCCTGGAACTGGAGTTACAGACAATGGCTGACCATCATGTGGGTGCTGGGAATTTAACCAGAGTTCTCTGCAAGAGCAGCCAGTGCTCTTAACCACTAAGCCATCTCTCCAGTCCCCTCCCCTTTTGATTTTATTATATTGTACATTTTTAAAAATATTTTATCATTTTATGTGTATGAGTGTATTGCCTGGGTGTATTTAAGTGCACCTGTGTTGTGCAATGCCCAGAGACCAGAAGAGGGAGTTGGATCCCCTGGAACTGGAGTTATAGACAATTGTTAGGCATCATGTGGGTGCAGGGAATTTAACCAGAGTCCTCTGCTTGCCTTTAACCACTAAGCCATCTCTCCAGTCCCCTCCCCTTTTGATTTTATTATACTGTACATTAAAAAAATATTATTTTATGTGCATGAGTGTATTGCCTGCATATATGTAAGTGCACTTGTGTAGTCCAATGCCCTTGGAGGTCAGAAGAGGGTGTTGGATGCCCTGGAACTGGAGTTACAAATGGCTGTTAGCTGCCATGTGGGTGCTGGGATTTGAAACCAGGTCCTCTGAAAGAGCAGCCAGTGTTCTTAACCACTGAGCCATCTCTCCAGTCCCTATACTGTACATTTTTATCTACACAAATATAAAGGCTATCCTGCAGATTATGAAGTGTCTTTCTTAAGGCTATGGACCACTGTTTTGATCTTACCTCCCCTGATACAATACTGCTCAAATTATAAACATCTTCAGTGTTGTATATTAGATTAATAACACATTTCTGTTGATTTACATTAAAAACATTACTTTAGCAAAATGTTCTATAGGAAAAAATAATTTCCAATGAAGATGTAAAAAAAGAGAAAGAAATATCTAACAAAAATGGTATCTTAGAAGTACTTTATATAGTTACAGGATAACTTTTCTTAAAAAAAAATACTCTAAATGAGCATTAAATATTACAACTCATGTTGAATGATATAATGGTATGAAAATGCTTTTTGTGGCTTTTAGTTGTCAAATCTGTTTCGTTTTTAAAATTTGATCAATAAGCCTGAAAGTCACCAGAAACACATCATATAAAATTAAGAGCTCATACCATTCAGTTCCTTAGCCTCAGAAATCTTGACTGGAAATTTGCTAGCTGTGTGTCCTTTTACTTTTTCACAGATATAGCTGTTATTGCCAGAAACAACTGTTCATTCTTTGTTTGATTCAAAACCTTTAAGTAATATTTTTCTATGTAATATATGATATTACATGTATATATAATATTGGATTTATACTGCATTTCTTTTGAGGGTGCTATTATAAATCTTCCTTTAAAAAAATCAAAAGATCAGGGTCTG